ATTTTTTGCTGGTCTAAGAGGTTAGTCTTTAGGAACCGTTAGGTGCACATAACTCATTATTTGAAAATTTTGTGGATTGGTTCTTTTTTGATTAACTACGTTCAATTATCCGATAATCATCCATGCTGATGAACAGATTTGTATCATATTTGTCTAAAATGGCAAGCAATGAGTAAACTAAATAAACACAAAGAAAAATCTTTGGGATATTTAGTTTGTGACTTTTTGAGATTGACATTAGATACGTTTGCATGACGTCTCTGATATACACATGGTACAACAGCTGCACCATTTTGTTGTTCCAATTAGGTTTATAAATATCAAGGTATGTTCAACAAGATAATAATAATTGTAAAAAAAATGTGAAAATAATCATAATAATAAATATCATGATAATTGTCATATGTCCAACTCTGTTTTTTTCCTGACTTGTATTGGCTTTTCGCGATTGGATTTTTAGCCACTTTACAAGATTTTTTAATTTCACGGCTTTTGCCAATCTCTAAAACAGTCAGTTATTTTGAGTTCATTAATTTATTAATATATTTAATTGTAATGTAGATTCCAAGACAACCGTGCAATGACTGCTACAAAACGTATAAAAAGTACTATGTCTAAGATACAGAACACACGACGCATTAGCCAAAGGTCATTTACACAACGGGTCACATTTTTTTGTCTATTGCTGTCTTTAGATTAAGAATGAACCGACAAATCACCGTCTACATCTTATTATACAAATACTAGTAGAGAAATAGGAAACTACACTTACGTTATAAGAAAAAGAGTTAGATTCTCATCAGTCTTACACGGAATCATTGCAGAGGCCATAATCCACTTCATTAATTTACATTACATCTGATAAGTATTTGGTACAACGGGGTAAAAGTTCTCCGTGGCACTTATTTTGCAAGACGTCATTTACATAATTCGTCTATTTTACCTTGAATTTGATGGATCTTTAAATCGATTATAAAACAAACTAGTGGACTATATTTTCATAAAAAATATATTAATATTTATAATAAAGCGACATCTCTTGTCAGCCCCTGGTACCTGTAAAGGTAGAGTGAAGGAAATACTTTTACAGTATTCTCAAAGGTGGCGCCACGGTAAAAAAACCAACCACAACATTCGTAGCAGCCACAAGAAAAACGTATTCCGTATCCTAGGTCAGTTTGTTTGAGTCCAGCCGTAACGAAAGAATTTTTCTTTGAGTTTGTTCAATCTTTAAAGTTTAAAATATGTTTTAGATTAACGTCTTTAACATAAAACTTGTACGATGCATCAAATAAAGGAATAAATAAGGTAATAGAAGAAAAAACTTCTTCTACAAGGAATCTAACTTAAATTATTTAAATCATATTTTTTTAACCAATCGAACAATTAATAAATAGTTTTAAATCGATCCCCTGACTTCAAGTACAAAACTCATCTTTGTATTTATCTAGGACATTAATGTTTTCATTTTACACACGCAAATATTCCACCTACCTAATTAATATATCAAATTGACTAGATTTTAGACACTGATATCACGACTACAGAAGGTCCGACTACAGTTTGATCGGTACAAATTTGAGAAGGTCTATTAGTTAAACTTTAAAAACATACTCAAGCAGAGTTTAAGGCTGTCAAATGGACTCTGACATGAGTGCGTTAGGGTTGATTTTTTGATATCAATATTCCTGTTACTAAAGCTTTTAATCTCGCTGTGTTTCAGCATTTCGCTAAAATTAAGACAAGATGCAAACAAATTTTATAAATAGTTTAGAATGTCGATTGCTAATTTTGATAAAATAAACGATATATTAAAAGAAAAAAGTATGTATCCTCGTAAGAATGTCAATTACTAATTTTGATTCTTGCAGTTAAAGTCTTAACTGCGTGCGTTAGAGTTTCGACTGAATTCAGTTAATGTGTGTCGAGATTTCGGCTGCACGAAGTTGATTACAACTTTACATATTAACTGCAAATACGCAGTTAATATGTTAGTATCCTTAGGCTCAACTCTCACTAGCGCAGAGTCGAAGCGTCGCGTCGCGTCCTGTTTTTCAACTACAACGTATGGCGACGCGATCATCGCGCGACGACACTCGCATTTGCTCCCCCGAATCGCAATGCTGGACCAGTTCAAAGACCTTGAACATTCGTGTATGGCGCTCATACACAGTATACAATGATTGATATCGATCGTATTATAATTGCTCTTATATCTGAAGCTGATGAAGAAGAAACTGAAATTATATCAGAAGCTGAAGGGAAAAAAAGAAAGCGGAAATTTCGGGTTCACGAATTATGGAAGAAAAGACGTATATTTGGCGAATTCAAAACCACCTTGTAGTAACGATTTAATCCGAGACTCAAGATATTTTTATGATTATAATATTATATAGACATTCAAATTTTTAACTGCCTCTGTGGCCGAATTGCCAGATTCCCGGGCTGGGAGAAATATTTCTATGACCTACATTTATTTCTCTCTTGAGTTTGTGGTTGTTTATGTGTGTGTCCAAGACACTCGCGACACAGGGTTTCCCTAGTGCGGGGCTATGTTGAGTGTGTACGTTATTATTGTTACATTTTTGGATTAACTAAATAAATTTTTCGTCTTCATCCATTATCGCGCACTCGTCTCGTTCGGCATTGCGCTATGTCTGGTGTGGTCGGCGTCTGACGCGTCAGTGCGCGCGAGCAACGCACGACGATGCGCAGTGACGCGCGAAACCGCTCGACTTTAACCAAGCCTCGACGTGCGATTGTTTGCATAACACAAATTTGTACCATAATAGTAGGAAAATAGAGATGAATATGCTGTAGGCGAAAAACATGACGTGTCGCGACGCTTTGACTCTGCGCCAGTGTGAGTTGAGCCTTAGAGGGGTTACACACGGTGACTTTTTAGCAGCGATGTAAACGCGCGATTGCATCGCCGCAAACGCGCGAGTGCATCAATGCTATCGCCTGTGTAGTGTAGCGATGCAATCACGCGTTTGGCATCGTTTTGAATCGCCCGCGTGTGTGAATGTAGACGATAAGCGACAACATCGCGTTTATGTCGCATTTGTATTGCTGCTATAAGTCACTGTGTGTGTTACCACTATTTGTCTTAGTAACCATTCTGTTACCAACAGATGAAATTAGTTAAATCAAACTACGCAACGTAACTGAAGTTTTAAACTAACTTAGTTATTTATTTTAGTAATTGTAACATTTGGTTCGTGTAGTTGGAATCAAGAAATACGTTATTACGCATATGTATTTAGAGTAGGTATTTTGGCATAATATTTATATTAATATTTTCAAGTGAGTGAGTACGAGGGTGGTTTGACCAAGTCCGCGACTTTGAGAAGAATTTTTTTTTTCAAGTATGATTTATTTTTATATATAATCTTCTTTTAACTCACTGAGAAATAAGCCTCTGTTTCAACTCTTTCACACTATAATTTTCTTGTTTGATGCAAATTGGTAAAAACTCAGATAAAAAGGTCAAATAGGGCCAAATCTGGTGAATGCGCGTTAACCCGCAACCGACAACCCGAACTATTAATAGTTCCTATAATAATTAGTCAAGTTTGATTGTAAAAGAGAAACGGAATACTAGAAAATTGTTTTCTCCATCTTCAAAAAATATTTCGACCTGCCATTTTTGTTTTGAATATAACTTTTTTACATCTTAGAGACAGAACTCACGAAGCGGTTTTGGCCCGCGCCCGTTGCGGTTGCGGAACGGCCCGCAAACGTGGCGGGTGAGATTGAGATCGTCAGTTAAGTCTCAGACGTTGCCACGGACTCACATCAAAAACGAGCTATCGCGTTATACTTACTTCATCGAAGAATTAAAAGAAGAAGGCCTAAAAGATTCAGGGTGCATCCTCTGATTCCGGAAAGAAATCTTTACGGATTATTCGTTGTTCTTACTGTACGGTTTGTTCACCTTTCAATGATAAGTCTGATAGGATTTAGAAGTTTATTGCTAAACGAACTGCTTAAATGATAACTGATAGATGAATGTGCGATGGCGAGCAAGTGAGTTTTATAACTAAAGTGCATTCCGTAGTGCATTAACCTAAATAGCGGTCAATGGCATAACATGCTGATCCTGCAAAATGTACGATCGTGTATCGTACACTTACTAATGAGTTAAAAAACAAGAAGACAAATTTTTTAATTTTATTCGGATGTCTGTATCTCCTGGTAACTGGTAGGAAATTAATTGATCGACTTCAACATCCATAACTTGAGAAATTGGCACGCGCTGCCAAATCGAAAATCAATCACAAAATGGCGTGAGAAGGAAAGACGCACCACCGCGTGGAACGCGTCGCCCGCGAACCGACCGCAGACTGCGCGGGCGACGCCCGCTAAGCGCGCGGGTGACCGCGTCTTGCGCGGTTCGCGGCCGCCGCGAGCAACTAAATTTTGCATACATTTCTACATTCTTCGGAGGCCGCGGTTTTGCAACCGCAGCGGGCGCGGGTGAAAACCGCTCCACGAGTTCTTAGCCTTACAGCGCTAATCTTAGAAAGTAACGTCAGTTGTTTATCAAGGAGTTCTAGATTAAGAAATAAAAATTCAGAAAAAAGTTTTTATTCAACCACAAAAGTCCGTTTTCATCAAACCGCCCTCGTATATAGTATTAGGCAAGTAGTCATTTAGACATACATACTTACTTATATTATATTCTTTAAATGCAGTCTACTAAATTATAATGTATATATTTAATTTTACTTTTTTGGAATGTAAATTAAATTTCCGAAGCTCGTGTAAACAACACCCCCACCCTTACTGTAATCAGTCACTCCAATCCCTCTAGTATAAAAGTAATTAGTTATGGGTGGTATGTTTTTATTACCCGGATGTTTTTTATAGAGGGGAGAAATGTACAAAAGTTATTTTTTCATTATTTACTTGGCAACTCATCACCAAAACTTGTTACAATTGGGTAACATAGAAAATCCAGAGCATTGGTGACACGGTGACGAATGACTTTGTCTCTGCGAATTTATTAACCATAAGAATTGAAGAAGCCAATAAAATCCACGTTTCCGTGTTTTGAAGATTACGATTCGAGTGAGTGTCAACGATGTCTCACGCAAATAATTCCGTCATCTGCCAGCGCATAAAAACGTTGTCAACGTTGTTTGGAATTAGTACCCACTGATAACTTTTATAGCTTTCTCAAAGTCAATAAGCGTCGGCGCCTCACTGTACACAACACCCAGCACTAATGGCAACCGGTGCCATGGCCCCCATGCCACCATCACCGTCGTTCATCCCTGCAAGAAACTTAGCGCGGCCGCAATCTCCGCAGGTGCAGTTGTCCTTCAATGTGCAGAGACCGCGAGCTGTAGCTATCGCTTCCCATTTGATTTGCTCATCCAGGGTCCCACTTCGGCTAAGCAGATTCTGTGGAGACCAAAAGGACAATTTAAGCATTTATTTATTACCTTGTTGTACACCTGGTGTATGGCTGATTGTACTTGTCACAAAACTTAATATGTCGGGGTAAAATGTCTTGATTGTCTTGTAAGGTGTACTTGATAGTAAACCAATTTGTTACTTCGCAAACCCATTGGAGGTCGTCGTCATTTCGTACAAGAACAGCTGCGCTTGTGTTGAATGCTTTTAATACACCCGACCCAAAAATATACCCGATACCAGGGCTCCGCCACGCGCTCAAGGTCACGTATTAAGTGCCTACCGTTGAGTGTACCGACGTCTATGCATGCACATCTAAATAGTCGTACGGCATGTTTCGTAAAAAATCGTGGTAATGTCGAAATCGTGTAATTAGTTCAGTAGATGAGTGTAAAAATGGCTGATTTTCAGAAATCAGAGGTGTTAGTTACAAGCGATGAGATTGTCTTAAAATTACAATACAATTAAAATGTATTACAACTTAAATGTCAAATATTAAAATTATAATTAAGTTAATTACACAATTGTCAAACATTTGATGTCTCTATATAAAATTAGCTGAGATTGTTTTATTTATCACCATTTAAACATTTCATTTCTATTACCGAATTATTACCGAAAGTCGAAGAAAATTAAGTGATTAATTACGTGTTTTTACTACAATTTTTATTTTCGATTCTTCGTGCCATTAATTCCTAAAAATTTAAGTTGGCTGGTTGTGATCAACGAATTATGAGATCTTTAAATATTTAAAATCATGCCTAATGTAAGTCAATACGCACTTATTTCAATTATTTGACATTTAGTGTATGTAAGCGAGATTCCAGTCATATAGGCCGCTTACTTAATTTGTTTCTTCCTTTTTTCTAAATTGTTCGTTTTCACGTGAAACGGCTTTAAAATCCATATCGAAATATATTCGAATACGATGGAAATTTGGACTGTAAAATAACCAAAGAGACTGTTCAATGTAAACGTTTTACTTTAAAGTAATGGCTGTGCGCCCACCCAAATTGTACCTCGCTTTCTTCGCCTTTATAAAAGTTCTATCACAATTGATTTACGACAACATGCGATGTCCTATAAAAATGAGATGAAAAGTTAACTGAATGAAATAATCTAATCTTCACTTGTAAAAAAAGTAGCTCCCACAAAAACTTCACAAACACAGTAAAATTTTGAAATCAATTGATGCCTGACAGCCATTTTAGTAGCAGTAGATTCCTCGTGAAAAATTTCGTCCAGGTAAGCATTAATGTGAGCTTTAGAGCGGTTACACACGAAGCGATTGCATTTACAATCGCGCGTTTATCGATTTAAACAGGCGATTGCGTATACTTCGCAAGTGTAGAGATGCAATCACGCGTTACTCTTACTGTGTTTCGGTTTTGATGAGCAAGGGTGCTGGTGAAATTACAGACACATGGGACTTGTCAACTTATGTCTCAGAGTGCCCAAAACATCTTTGTTATAGCTCTGAGTGACATTGCAACTGTTATGGACAAGCGTTTCGCGTACCACCGGACGCACGACATGTTTACCAAACTCAACAAGACAGACAAGTACTAATAACCACTCTTAAAACAGCAACTTCATTATATATTTGGCGAGTTAGGATATTCGAGGAGCTAGAACCCCTTGAAGGAAAAGCCATATTCGAGTTGTCTTGTAAGGGTACTCATTATTGTGTTTGAAGTTGCGATGTCGTCGTAATTTTCTACAAATAACTCGGACACAGATGAGGCATATTTCTTTTGGCCATTTCTAACTCAGAGGGTGGTTTAGTTGCCAGAACACTGATTACAGCGGTTGTGAACAAAGTGACCTCTTCGAAATCCAGCCATCAAACAAACCTTACTTTTTAAATATATTTAAAGATTGCACACCTGTATATTTTAGGTTTCCCACTGTTGGGTAAGTTTCCGAAAAATTTCAAATAGTGGAATTTTATCCGGAAAAATTTCTGAAAAATTGGAAAAATTTTATTCGAAGTCTCATTATGTTCTTCGTTTAGAAATATCTTTGGAAGTCTTATTTAGCGTGAATTATGAAATAAAATTGTTGTTATATAAGCAAGTTAGAGAAAATTGTGATTTAAAATAATTGGACAACAGCGAAAAAAACCTTTTAAAAATATTTATTTTGCGGAAAAATATGATTTTTTTCAAAATTGAAATTTATCATGATAAAATTTGTTGTTGTATGCAAATACTATACGAGTCTAACTATTGATTCTGGCTAAGGAATTCCAGGTTCAAGTGACCATTCTTTTCACGAAATCATATCCAGAAAATTAACAGACCGTTTGAGAAACTCAAGATCTAGCGGCTGTCTTGGTTAACGTATTAGCATATAACAAAGAGGGAACGCAGCCAGCATTTTGACAACCTTGCCACAGGGCCCCAATTTTCTGTACGTTCTAACGCGTCTTTCATTATTATGCGAATGTGTGCGCCATTCACTCATTCACATACAAGTCACGCTGCTGCTTTCGGTGTGTGCCAGTGATCAAACCAGAGAACAAAATAGTAACGAGAATAGACACTCTCCGCCCCTCTCTAGCTTTATTTACCGCACCACGCTCCGCACATTGACGGTCACATTGACTGAACGACAACAAGGCTGTCGGCGAGCCGTTTTCGCGCTAAGACGGCTTTGATATTTGAATACAGTTTTCATGTATTCATTACGAAACTTGTACGTTAATATATAACGTCATTGTACGTTACTATTTATAATGGTCGTGAATTGTACTTTGTATGGCTGTTCATCTTCAAAAAAAAAAGACTCATTCAGTTATTGTTATCTTCATTTATTTAGTGCAGAGTAATATACTCATATAATACAGATTTATTATATCAATAAAATGAGACGCCATTAGTTCGTGACCTAGTAGACAAGGGTTTTCGAATTTTCAATTTGTTTTGCCGATGAATTTAGTGAATATGGCTAATTATTGACTAGGTAACCTTGGACACGCAATTTCAAATACCTTGGTTACACCTTGGTTATATTTAAAAGTACTTGTCCAAAATATAACATTTTAAGTGCTAATTATTCATACGAACACTCAGAAAAAACACTCAGAAAAAATTCCTTCGATCCGGTCGGATTCGAACCGACGTCTTCTTGCATACCGTGCCAGACGCTATACCATCTAAGCCACGGAACGAACCAACGGACCTCACGAATTTTCATAGATGGTGCTAGGACTAAAAAGTCGTTGAAAGACCAAGTACAAAGACACGACGCAAGCACATAGAAAAATTCGTGAGGTTAGTTGGTTCGTTCCGTGGCTTAGTTGGTATAGCGTCTGCCACGGTATGCAAGAAGACGTCGGTTCGAATCCGACCGGATCGAAGGAATTTTTTCTGAGTGTTCGATCTTTGTATTAATAATTATAACAAACTAGTGGAGTAATTTCACAAAAAATAATTGAATATCAATTCAACAAAAATTTAATTAATTTTAAGTGCTTTTAATATATTTTTTTAATAAATCTTCAATATTACTATAGATAGTGAATTAATGAAAAATATAATATTATATCGATATAAATACCTAATGAACATGTGTAATTATTAGGATTCTGTTAATAGAATTATTGATAACAGATTCAATTTAGAATTTTCGCTATGTTACCGCTCTGATCACGCAACGTTATAGTACGAGAAAGTGATGGGTAACCCTGCCACTTCACGCACCCATTTGAGCGTGAGCAGATAGCGCCTTGCTGTATGTAGTAGTAGAAGGTATATAACTTTCGACCGTTTGTGGAGTGTCCGGATGTGACGAAACTAAATTCTTGTCTAATAGGATAACCGCAAGATTGTGATAAGACACAATTCGCTGACTCATAATAAACTAAACAATCGAAATACTCACCTGCATAACTTCGATGTTACTAGCTTGCCACATGTCAAAATCCCTCAACTGCTGCTCCTCTTTACTTCTGCTTTTCTTGGGTTTTTTCAACGTTCCACAATAGATAGAGATGTCTTCACTAGGCGCGATGGACGCCTCGTCAAACTGCAGTGAATTCGCGTCACAAGACGTCGACGCCCCGTCGTTGTCGATTTCCAGGGTTCTGGTCGATTCCAGATCGTCAAGGTTTTGTATCGCTTCGAAATCGTCGTCGTTGTGTAAAGTGGACGTGGAAGTTGCGTCTGTCGATGATTGGTTTTTGAGGAGCGTGTAGTTTGTTGTAGTTTGTTGCTGAAAAACAATAATATATACTACTTTTACTACGTTATATACCTACACATATGTATACACGTCAGAGATGCCGCAGATGTGGGTTATGACAACGTCAGTAAATGATGACGCGGATGCGAATTTTTCATCGTTGAAATTTGCAGATGTAAGTGCTATATTACAAATTTTCTAGAATGATCCCTATGGGCATTTTTATAAATCTCGCTTTTAAGCGAATAACTTTTGTTTAAGCAAATACATACAATTAAAGTAAAAGTAAGACCAAATTAGTGAGAAATAAGCAGATAAACAATTTTTCTTCCAAAATTATTTTATTTTTACGACAACATACAAAGGTTACTTCATTAGATTGCATTTGCTAGAGATGAGGTATATCGATAAAAAGTTTTCGATAATTTAATGAATAAATATATAACTTCGTGTAAAACCACGTACTTATATAGTATTGGTAAAAAGCACATATCTGCATCAAACCAAATTTCACAGGAAAGGAATTTAACGTTATCATTTTGTTTGTTATTTCAATGGCTACAACTTTAATTTTTGCACAGTAAGCATTAATTTATGTTGTCTATGGACTGATAACAATAGATTTCCGTAAATCAAGCTAATTTGGTTGCGGATTGTTTTTGATTGTTCATCTATCGCTGGCGATGGCTATTGAATCATAAACAAAGACGGCATTTACATTTAAATTACCTACTCCATAGAAATATCGGATCGGATATCAGAAATAAAATAAATATCATTTATACACTATTCATGGGAGTTCATAATTTTAGAAACTCAATTGTTATGCTTTTTAAATCCGTAGGTAACATTATAGAAGGCTGTATAAGACAAAAATTTTGCTTCAAAAATCTATCGACCTTACCTCATCCGTATGAAAACGTCAAATGAAGTGTCACAGGGTTTTAGGGTCATCATCCTAGAAAATTTGTGGTTATAAAAATTTTTTTTAGAATAAATAGGGATCATTGTGGGTTTAGTGATAATTGAATATTATTTAAGTAAAAGATAATAATTTTGTATAATTTTATTACAAAAAAAATGGTAAATGGAAATGGGGCATAGAAATATTAGCCCCCTTTACACAGTCACTCTATCGCGTGATACGATCAGGAGCGTACAGGATTGAGCGAGGGAAAGCCTGCACGAGTAACCGTAATGTACTGTTTGTAATTTTTTAAGCTAACGTTATTTCGTTACATTAGAAAGAGCGTCCGTGTAAATGCTAATAGCGCAAGATAGATCGCGTTAAAGTTTCCTTCCAACGTCTTTACACGCGCGCTCCATCGCGCACGATTGCTGTATCACATGACTGTACTACATGACGCGTCGCGACGTTTCGACTCTGCGTCAGTGTGAGTTGAGCCTAAGAGTGTCTGTGTAAAGTCCGCTATTGCGGCCTGCATCCGACCATCTTGTAACCTGCAAAACATCATCGTTGCGGATGCATATGTCATATATCTAATACACATACACACGTCTTTGGATTCCCATTGGGGTTAACAGAGATTATCAATATGATACTTTGAACGATCTTGACAAGCCACGTTGTTTCACTAACATCCATAATCTTATCATGTAAGCCCTCTTAGTTTTCCCATAACGTATTTTTTAAGAACACTCTCGATTTAATGTAATCATTGTCTTATTTATTTGTTGAGCATTGGCTATAGAGCCATCAGCTTAAACTTAAGATATCTACTCAAAATGTTATTTGCATAAAAAAATATTTGTGAAAAGATTGTAACTACAAAAATCCGCCATCTATTTTCGTGTTTTTGTATCCTTTTTATTTTTATTATTATTGTATTGAGCATTCGCTACAGAGCCATTAGTTTAAATTGTTGTAACAAATAATTATGAAACTCAAAACGTAATGCATGTAAAGTAAAAACGTATTCGTGAAAAAACTACAATAAACCGCCATTTCTCGTCTGTATAAATCGTATATAATCAAAGACAATGTAGTACTAATAAATGTTTATTACTGGCAATGGAAAATTTTACACGGTCACGTTTCATATTGATATAACAGTAAGAGTTTTAATTTCTGTGGGTCTAGTGAAAAGGGGTACAAGTCAAAAACCCAGCTTTGCAAGGAGATGCGAAAACAGTTAACGCTACTCTATTAAGCTTTAACTCTTTGGCTTTGGCTCTGAAAGCCACAAATTTTACAAGCAATTTACCTGTACTTCTTCATTGCTCTCCACACTCGTTCTTCTCGTTGCTTTAGCAGTTTGTGAGTCCTGCAAGTGATTCAAATATATAAAATTAGAATGTTGTAAAAAGGCAATGTAACGTAAATGGACGCAGTTGCCTCTAAGCGATTTATGGCATAGTCGTTTTATTGTAGTCTACATAGAGACTGCAGCACGTAAAATCGATACGATGAGAAATTTTTTGGTCATTTTCTGTTTTTAATGTGAACAGCCATATTTTATTGATGCACGCCGAATTTTATGAAAAAAATAAAGAAACAAAAAAGCAAAATTCCAAAAATAAACAAAAAAACTAATTTTGTGAGAAAAAAGAAACAAAAAGCAAAATAAAAATAATTACAACCTTTTATAAAAAAAAAACATCGACGATTTGTAAATATAATGGCGTAAATGTAGTAATTAGGTTGTGTGTGACAGTTGTGTCACATAATGTGCGTCGTCGATCCTAAAAATAAACACTTTTCCATGCTTTGTTAGCAGTATTATTCTCCTGCGTACTCGGAGACCTTTTTTTAATAACATGTTTATGGAATTTTCAGGAACTGTTGCTAATATTACAGAAAGTACGGGAAAATTTTTTTATACAATCGTTGCAAAATGAGGATTCTCAAAGCTGAGTAAAACCGTGCGAGATTTTAAGACGTGGTTATGTAATGATTGCGTAATACTTTTTCTACGAATAAACAAAATAATGAAACACAAACAATATTTAAGATTTTTATACTTATTATTCTAAGATTAGACAATTGCAGGCTATTTAATATATGCAGAACATGTTTGTATCTACTAACACTGTCTCTTGTTACATCTTCTATTATGCCATGTTTCAAGGAAATAAAGTCACGGTCTGACTGACCACGGCCGGTGCAACCTGGCCGAAACGTCGGGAAACTGGGTAGGTGTGAAAATTCTATTGATATGATAATCCTATTCGTATATAAACGCGTTTATTTCCGTTTCCAAATGTTAGTATCGCCATATTATTATTACAATTTTTTTTAAATATACTCTCATATTCAAATAAAATAATCAAATCACATTTTTTCTGTGCAAATTCACCGTAGAATTTGAGCATTTATAAATGCAAAATAGTACTCGTAAATTCGAAATCTCATATGACATTCCCGAATATTCCCACATGACCTAAAATATTCCTAAATGGAATATTGATCTACTTAAACATTTATTAATTAAACGTTTGCATGTCGATAATGACTTATAGATAGATTATGGTACAACACTAAAGAAATTCGCCGTTTGTTCTGTTCAATTTTTGTTTATAAGCACGTTTATTTTTATTTTATTTTTTTACATTTTCTAAGACTCAGAGTAATGTAGGACATTGCGTCTCTATCTCTAGTATATATTTATTTATATATGCTTACTGTACTAGCACGAATGGGCGCGACTTGCTCGAAAGCGACATACAGCGCGAGACCTTTCTCAGTAGTTTTGTGAAGAAAGCTATCTACTTATTAACAGAACAAATGGGAAGATAAATAACAGTAGTTTTTTATTTTAATATAATATTGTTATTATTGAGAATAACACACATTACGGTTTGAAAAAATTGTAAACAAAATTTTATGCGCACTTGATAAGAGTAAGGGTGCAGGTGTTGATGGGGTTCCGCCCTTTTTCTTATCTTCATGTGCTGAAAGTCTTGCCTTGCCTATTTCTCTTTTATTTCGCCATTCCCTTAAGGAATGCGTTTTTCCTAGTATATGGAAAAAATCACAAATCATCCCCATTCATAAAAAGGTTCACGCTCACGAATTGATAATTATCGTCCAATCTCTATACTAAATTGTATTAGCAAAGTTTTTGAAAAATTAATTTACACTCAGATTTATCCATTGATTTCCCGTGGCATTCCGCATACTCAGCATGGGTTTATTAAGGGGCGCTCAACAGTATCTAATTTGGCGCTTTTTTCAAACTATGTGTTAACTGAAATGGAGGGTGGTGGACAAGTCGATGTTATCTATACTGATTTTGAGAAAGCGTTCAATCGCGTTGATCATAACATTCTACTTTGTAAGCTGCAAGCTCTAGGGATACATGGCGATTTACTTCGTTGGATCCGCTCATACTTGTCAAATCGCTCTCAGTTAGTTGTGATTGGTGGATACAAGTCAGACTACATCATGGTACCTTCTGGGGTTCCTCAGGGATCTCACCTTGCAACTTTATTTTATAATGCGTACATTTTTGATATTACTGACTATATTAAAGTTTCTAAACATATTATGTATGCTGATGATAAAAAAGTTTACATGAACATTCGCAGTAGGGCTGACTGTATATCGTTACAACAAGATTTAGATTCGCTTCAACAATATTATTCACTTAACAAAATTACAGTTAGTGTAGCCAAATGTCAAGCTATTAGCTTCACTCGTAAGAGGAATCCTATTATATTTTGTTATAACTTAAATGGGGTTACAATCAAGAGGGTAGGCTTGGTGCGTGATCTGGGTGTATTCTTTGATGCAAAAATGCTTTTATCTGTTCATGTAGAATGTATCGTACAGAAAGCTTACCGTAATTTAGGTTTTGTAATTAGAACTTGTATTCCATTTAAATGCCCCTTAACTTTTAAGGTGGTCTATTTCGCGTACGTACGTAGCATCCTTGAGTATGCAAGCCCCATATGGTCTCCTTGTTATATGGAATACATAAACCGAATAGAAGGTATTCAGCGTAAGTTTGTTAAACATTTAAACTTTAAATCTAACCTAAGTAATCTTTCCTACTCGGAGAGCTGTTGTACTCATAATCTTCTTTCCCTTGAAGGACGTCGTCAAATGTTGGATGTGTGTCTCTTATATGATATTCTACGTGGTCGGCTTGATAGCCCAGAACTAGTTCAATTCATTAATTTTAATGTGCCGAAGTATCGTACGCGGCATACTTCGCTTTTTGCCACTCCTTTCCACCGTACCAACTATGGTGAGAACGCGGTTTTTACACGATTGGTTAAATTATTTAATGAGAGATTTGCAGATGTGGATTTGTTTTTTGTTTCCAAACACATTCTAAAGTCGCAGTTAAAAAATGGTTTACGTGGCAGCTAGGCATATTATATGTATGATTATATGGGTATATAGGTGTATGTATGTATTTAGGTAGGTTATATATTTATGTAAGTTTGTGTATAAATATGTAGTTATATGTACAATATATATTAACTTGTATTTATTGTATTATTATAACACGCAAGCGCTCTTGATCTAAATTTAATTTAATTTTAATTTGTAAGAAAGTACCTGTTTGTAATATGTGGTTAGCTATTATTGGTATCTCAAAAATTGTATTTTTATAAATTGTTAATCTATACTAAATATGTACTGTTGTTTACCCAAATACAATAAATAAATAAATAAATAAATAATTGATTTTTATGAAGATCGATTCAATTGTATACGATCTTTTTGCGATTTGCTTGTTTGCGATTTTTTTAATCGACTAATTTCAATGCGATTTTCAAGCAAATCAATTCAAAATTAAGCCGAATCGAAATGTCTAGACCGTATTCATAATTTTAACAAAAGTCTCATCTTATTAAATGATGTCATCAAAGACGACAATGCTTTGGACATTAAGTTATATGACAATATTACTGAAAAGTTTCGTTAGATGTAAAGGATTTGCATTTGTGAAAAGAAAAAGAAAATTACCAGTTATTATGGCAATGAAATCATTTAGTAAAGGTGTTTATCTACACACATATCATAAACCCTTCATGATGTGTTCAAAATCCGCAAATTACGACCAGCATAAAGATAAACTGTTTTGTTAGAACAAATTTCTTATCTGTGAAAATGTTATTATTCGATGTTATTATTACATTCAAATTTCGAACATCTCTGAAAAACAAAACAATTTGATTCGACTTCAATTCTAATATCAGTCGAGATGAAGTTTTATTCGAAATGAAATGTCAATAGCAAACAAATTTGACAATTTCACACGTTACTTGATACCGAACGACATGATAGTTGGGGCCGATTCTAGTTTATCTATGAATTAAAACTAAAAACTACGGTTGTGTGACATGCGTGAGAAAAGTTTTTATTTGCCGCCATTTCGCCAGTCGTAACATGCGGTTCCTGAACACATCATAGAGAGCTTATAATATGTGTGTAGACAAAGCAGTGTATGTAACTGTACATAATTAGGCATTAAAAGTCTCGTGTGATGTTGTTTCATAAACTCACATTCGTATTTTAATACCTGTCATTATATAACAGCCACATAAACTACTTTTTATTAATTTCAAAGCACAGGTACAGGTAAAGATGGTCGGAATTTTACACATATTTGGTTTTGCTCCGGCGCAAGAAAGAAAGAGAAGAGAGAAGTGCCGCGAAGGCAGAGATCGAGAAGAATGCAAAACAATCACTGAACACACGCACAGGCACACGTCATGCCCCGGAAATGAAAAATGTGAGTAACTAGCCTTTCGTATTTCATATCGGGAATCTCGGTCTCGTAAATTTCGAGTCTCAACGATTTATTGACTGTTTCGAGACTCGTAACTGATGTTGTCATTCACGGGAATATTGACACTTTTGAGGCTTGCTAAGTTTTTTTTATGACACTATGTGATAGGACGACCAAACGCGCGCTTGGTGGTAAGCGCCACGATCGTCCATAATAGTTGCAGTGCCAATCAAAGCTTTAAATCACAAATATCTGACAGGAACTGCCTACGCGCCCGTCACACTGAGTCTTAAGTTGAAAATTCATACATTACATGAGATATAGGGCCTATGCGCACGGCATCTTTTGTACGCGCCGCATTTATAATTATAAATGTAATTTTATTCTTCAACAGTTTCGTGCGTTTGGTGGTAAGCGACACGCCTATTCATAACTTCTGAAGTACCACACAGAGTTTTAAATAGCAAAGATCTGAGGGGCGCTGCGCCTGTCACCCTGAGACAAGGGTTGACAAGTCTCATGTGCCTGTAATTTCACCAGCACCCTTACTCTTGAAAACCGGAACGCAGTAATGCTCACAT